AAGTATGGTATACCATACTTCATTTAACCAGTACCCTACTGATAGACATTAGGGGTGTTTCCAATCTTTGCTACTACAAAAAAAGCTACAATGAAAACTCCTATCCATATGTTATTTCACAAGTACACAAGTATATCTGTAATATAGTCCCAGAATTGGTACTGAGACAAATGTGTAAATGCATTGGTCTTTTTCTGGAAACTGCCAATTTGTCTTCTATGAGGGTTGTGTCATTTCACACTTCCACTACACATGCATCTCAGATGTATCTTAGAAAAAGCGATCTTTGGGCCTCTACGATATTTTGTTCATAAGGCAATTCTAAAAGATGTTCTCATTGCAAAAAACTACATGAAACTATTTTTCCCCAAACGCACATGCAAAATTTGTTGACTTAGTAAGTTTAACAACAAACAGATCTTCAAATTTAAAAAAACCTCACTGACATAGGAAATCATCACACTGATGCCTAATGTGCTGGGATAGCAACTATCTTCCCAGTATCTCCTGTCATCTAAAAGCAAATACGCCCCCCCACACCAGTTGTTTTTTAAATTCACGTTCAACAGTTTATAATTGGGTAAGGAGTCAAATGCATTTCACTTTCACATGAATGTTTTCCTGAAGCACTTAAATGTTTTCATGAAACCAAATCTGTTACTTCTATATTTTCCTTTAAAAAGCTATCATATCAATGGTGGTTTAATCTTTATGACTTCCACTTTCAACAGGCAGTGTTACCTAATACATTGTTTTTATTTCAATGCCCATCCCATCAAATATTTTATAATTAGAAAACAACCCCTTAAGTCCACTGGACTTCCTATCTGAAGGAATCCTTAAGTAAATCCAGTTTTAATGTCACTGTAACTGTTTTGTAAGAAAACATGCACATGGTAATTTTTAGTCCCCAAATAAGGATACATCAGTATATACAATCTATGTTTCACTTCCATTGTGCAGAAATCAGTTGCGAGATTTCTGAATTTTGTCCCCTGAAACAAAGTGGCTAGCTACTATAGTTGCTGATCCCAAAGTAAATTTTAAAAAGCTGCCACACACTTTATGCCCTTAGTCAGCAGATGGGGTAGAATCATACTTAAGCTCTCATTTAAGCAATCTATGTTAGGCAAATGCTGATTTTAATACTAGAGTTAATATAATACACTGACAGCAAAAGACAAGGATTACCTAACAAAAGTAAAACAAAACAAAACAAACAAAAAAACACATCACAAGTAGCACCCAGAACATAAAAGCTTATCAATCTGGACAATTTAGGAGAACAGTACTACACAGCATAATGGTCTCTGAGAAAATCACATAAATTCTGTGAAATGACTGATGTGCAGAACAACAACTGTGAACCATCAAAAAAAACCAAACCGTAAATGATACTGTTTCTTCTGTTTAAGAAAACAGAAGGGTAAATTTTATATTTTAGAAGCATTTTAGAAAATATTCATATAAAACAAATTTTGGCACATGAAGGGATAAGGTTCAATTATCCACAAAATTAACAGACAAGGAATATACCATTTGTTAATAATAGCCCAATGAATGAGGAATTACTCACAGTAAAATTCTCACTCAAAGTTAGAACATATTATGGCTGCCTTTTGGAAGATGAACTGTGATAAAGGGCAACAAAATTTGGGGGGCTTTAAACATGCAGTTTCCTGTGCGAAGCCAGTTCTTGGTTAATAGTCAAAAGAATATCTGATAATTTCTGAAAGCTAGTCAGGCAAATTTTCCATTTAAATGGCTGGACACACTCATGAAACTGTCCTGATTCCACTTTTCACTTTGCTTTCTTGAAGTTGTGACTGCCAAGCAGACAGGCTGGTATAGTTTCTAGCGCCGACTCGATAAATGACCTTGCTCAAGTGACTCAATCTCGAGCCTTCCGCAGTCTCGCCATCAGTAAGGTGAGGAGGTCATAGAAAACGTGACCTGATGGTAAGCAGTATGAGCGTGCTAATAAAGTAAAACAAAGAGTTACTAGATGAGGCCCTACATCGATACCTATACTACAGGTACACTATTTTTAAACTATCACAAACTATATGCCACTTTACCATACATTTAAGGTCCACAGTAAAAGACATTATAATCACTTCAGAATCTTTTCCAATATTTAATATGTGTTACTCTCAGGATGTAACAAATTTAAATTAATTTACAATACCACTATAATCAATTATCTTTGACGTGAAAATATATCACTTTTCCCACCTGACACATAAAAAACAACACATGAAATGTAAAAACACTTTCATGGCAATGTCGTTTATAGAAACCCAACACCAGAAACAACCCAAACATCCACCAACAATAGATCGAATGAATTCTGTCATATTCACTCCAAAGGAATATGTAATAAAACTACACGCAACTACGTAGATGATATCCAAAACATGATGCTGAGTAAAGGGAGAAGAATACCTATGATTCCAGACAAAGGTGCTCACCAGCCAGCCCACCCACGACCCATGCCTGGCAGGCCAGAGGGCACCCCACAGCTGGACCAGCATCCTGAGGAGCAGCTGAGCAGCATCCCAAATAGAAGCAGGAAAGCGGCACAGTGTCCAGGCTCAAGTCAGTATCCACTATGAGCACCGATGTGGATGGAGGGTCTGGTCCTCAGTTCCACCACCACAGCCACCTTTCCGTGTCTGTGATCACAGCTGCCACCCACCAGGAGCTGCTAGACGAGGCACTGGAGACACTGTTGCTGAGTGGAGTGCCAACATCGGTGCTAAAGAAGGATGGGACCTGCGTGAAGAGCGAGGACTCCTGCCAGGTGTTGAAGATGACACGTGCCTGAGTGTGCTCAAGTTCAGGAAGAGCTGGAGCTCCAGCAGGAATGGGTGCTGTCACATGGCCTCAAGAACGTCATCCTCATCAACTTCAACCTATATAAGCAAAACCCCCAAGACCGCTTTGGCAGCCTGAACATCACAGCCACATTCTATGAGCTCTACTCCAGGAGTCGTGACTTTCAAGGACTTGGCCCAAAGAAAGTACTCAGGGAGTACCTCCAGATGGAGCTCCATGCTACTGCAAGCCCTGGGCCACATGTTGCTGGGAATTTCCTCCACCTTTTGCCATACAGTGGAGGGGGCTACGCAATGGCAGTGGCAGCAGAAGTGGCAGGGTTGCCTTCCTCCCTACTGAGAAGGCGCTCTGAGCTTCTTGCCCTAGTCTAACTCTAAGAGAGACACTGTGAGAACTGTGACAGCATCAGGTTTGGGGACCTGCAGGCAGTGCAGACTAGATAACTCACCTGATTTCCCCCACGCTGTGCCTTCCACCCCTGGCCTATACCCTTTCCTGAAGAATGCTGTCCCTTCCTAGCCATCGTTCTAGCATCCCACTTACGCTGAAAGGCCACAAGCCTGTCCCCTGGCATCTTGATCCCACCCTGATTGCTGCTACATCTAAATTCCTTACAACTCCTCCTGTCCCTAAGCTCCCCAACGCACTGAAGACAGGCCTCTCTAACTTTACCCGAGATGGCGGTATCTTTGTAGCCTTCCCCTCAAAATAACAAAAACATTTCCAATAAAAATATAAAAGTATTTACCAAAAAAAGAGAATGCGTATGATTCCATAAAGATTAAAAAGAGGCAAAAAGTAAATATATTGCTGAGGAATACATATAAAAGTGACAAAATTATATAGAGAATTATATAAATAATTACCATAAAGATCAGGACATTGGTTACCGCTAAAGAAAAGGAAGATTATATTAAGGGTTTCTGGGATGCCAGTAATGATCTATGGTTACACGGATGTTCACTTTATACTTATTCATTTACTATAGATTTATGTTTCTATATGATGCTATATTTTACAATAAAAAAGTTTGAAATGATGTATTTTCTGAAATAATATATTCTTATAGAGAAAGAAGAGAGGGTTCTTTTTTGCTAAAAATCTTATTCTCTTGGTCTACATTTCTAATTTTTATTGAACTATTTTAATAATAAAGAAATAAGTTACTATGCCTAATTCTCCAATTCCTAATTAACAGTAGATTTCACTGCCTTTCCCAATGGCTACAAAATAGTACGGCGCTGTTAAAGAGTATAAAATCAGGTAACCTGTTATCTTTGCTTAGTTCAGTGTTGTTTGCCACTTTTTCTTTACCTTCAAAAGACCTACATTACATTATTATCCCGGTAATAATTTTATGCAGGCTGCACTCCAAAAAATACAGTATTTTAGCTTGAAAGTAGGAAGAAAAACACTTTTAACTTTTGCACATTTTACAACAATTTTGGGAGCACCTGTGTATGCAGACAGTGTAAGGGTTCATGACAGGACAGATACGGAACTTGAGGTCCAACCCAATGTCACTCTGTGTACCAGAAAACAAGATAGCTGAATTACAGGATAGACATAGAAAACAAGTTACACTTAAAGTCCACTGTATAAAATGTATAAAATGTAACATTGGGTGACTCATTCAAAATAGATCCAACAATGTCTAATTTAAGTTATACTGGAGCTGTTTTAAATATTACCTTTGGAAAAACAAAAGTACAGGGAATTTAAATTATTACAAAAGAGATAATAATAAACTGAAAAATTACAAACATATATACACACACACAATTCAGGAAATCATAAAAGGTCTATCACCTACAAGCATCTTTCACTGTATGTCTGCTGTAACTTTTAGATGCCACTAAAAGGAAGCCGACAATGAAATTCAGAAGCAAGACTACAAGCACTTTCACCATGCTCCTGATATCAACCCAGTGGCAATGGTATCACCCATTATGATAAGAGAGTTGCTTCTGTTGTATACTGTTGGTTTTTTGTGAATGCAACCCAGGATTCCCCTCCTCAGCGAGTCCAGTCAATCAGTTGTTTGCCCATCTATTAAGTGCCAACTTAAAAAAATTACACTGTGTCCAGCAGGGAGCAGCATTACAACATTCATAAGACTTAACTCCAACATGAAACCAACAGAAGAAAAAAAACCCACTTACCATAGGTCTGTTCTACAATATATTCAATTTTTAGGGTAGTTGCAGGGCTTCCAGAAAAAAACATCTGAAGTATGTCTCAACGCATATATGGGTGATCCATGGTTTCAGGATTCCTAAAGCAGGAAATCAAAGCTACATTAGGTGAAGGCTTCTCTCAGCCATGTTTAGTTGAATTAGTACATAATGTGACTTAATATCTCTCAGTTGTTAAGATGCATCTTCCTCCTAGTGGGTCAATGGGATTCTGAATTCAGATACTGACGACGCTTCAGATAAAACAATGAAAAAAACCCCAGAACATTAAAGTCCTCTATCCACCAGGGATTTGAAGAAGAAGAAAGTAAGTGGGTGACATAATATATCAATCCACCTAGAGAGAACTATGGGCAAGGACTTAAAAGGAGTTGATAGGTCAACCATACACAGTTCTGACATATCAAATTCTTCTAAACAACTGGCAGGTAATAGAGAGGATGTAACATTCATTTCTACATGTCAGCATGAGTATCTGAGGATAATTTTAAGAATGAAAAGGCAGGGGCCGGCCCCGTGGCTTAGCGGTTAAGTGCGCGCGCTCCG